GTACCAGTCTCAGGAGTGAAGGGTGCTTTCCTCAGTGCTGGCACTATTACTTACAGTTACTTAGCAAGCACATTCAGCTGGCTGAGCTTACCAAAACCTAACCTAAAATCATTCAGTGAAACCACAAAAGACATGAGAGCCAGGGTAATAATGAAGGAAACAAGAAAACTCGTTCCCAAACTTGTCTGGCTCAAGAATCACAAGGCTGTAGAACCATAGTCTTATCTTACTGACTATTCTAGCTGGTCAAATAATATAACCCCTGAAGCTCTTCCTTTGCCTTTATTTCAATAAAACATTAAAAATATATATATTTGAGACTTTCTATGCTATAATTTATGCCTTATATACTTCAAATTTTATAATACTTAAGGGTTTTTTGAGTATTTGTTGAGAAATTCCAAAATGTTTTACTTTTAAAACCACTTAAAAGTATAAAACCTGCTAACAGAAGGTTCTTTTATGGGCAATAAAGCCACATACTTGCCCTGCAGAAACATAGGGAAATGAGAAGCTTTCTATCCATGTCTGACCCCTATGGCTATAAAAAGCAGAAGAAAACACTATGGATATGTTATTCCTATCTCTCAAGAGAAACTAAACCTTCACCTACAATGCACTGTATACTTTAGACTGAAGATCCAAAGTAGATAAATGCTATAATTAATATGTCATTTCAGAACTTTTGAACATAAAAGTTCAAATCTTACATTAAGAGGCAGAAGCAATATAAGAAATTTAATTTTATTTATCAACAAATACAGAGCTATTAATTATAAGTGAGTAAAACATGGAAAAAAAAGAGTTGCACCTGATCACCATCAAATAGCTTCTAACAAAAATAAACTATTTAGAGTGAAAAATAAGTACTCTGATGATTATCTCCCTCACAGAAAGATGAGTAATGTCATTCATGCCATTGCATTTTTCCAGCATTTTTTCTTATTTCTCTTTGTATTTAAATATTTTATTTTGATACATTTACAACTGCCACCTTAGCAAGGAGATTCCCATATATCTCAGACATAAGTTTTCCTTCAAATGCATTTTAAATGTTTTGTTTGTGTTTTACATGAAGAATTGCTGCTGCTGTTAAACTGGTACAATAGCAACTCACCACTTTGGGCATATTTCTATAATTTCTTGTGACTTCTGTGACAATAGGTTACAATGAAGATAAAGGGAGTCTAAACACTTCAACTATTACTGCTAATGTGGTTACCTGGTTAGAAGAGATTTTCCCCAATACTCAAGATACCATGACTAAGGGAAAAGCTGAAACATTTTCAGATCACTGTATCCAAATTTCTAGTACAGACAACTCTCATTTACCAAAGTGTGCCATCGGCACATTTTGAAGAAAATGGTGGTAGAAGTCCTAAATACTTAGTTATAAGTAACTTCATATTTTTGGAGATGCAGTGCTTACCACTGTACATTAAGAAATTGTTGCAATTTAAATAGCTCATTCTTTCTGTAAAATAGATCTTCACAGGTAAATTTATTGTCAAATATGCTGAAGTTCAAACGTGTACATTACCTTTACTACATAGAACATTTTGCACAATGTTGATGATGTTACTTACAAAAATGACAAGCAAAAAATGGCACACACAGGTGTTTAATAATGAGTTATATTTGCAAAATCAATCAGTGAAAAGACAGGACACAAATCCAAGTATTTTGGAGTTCACAAGACTGCAGAAATAGACCATGAACAAACAGCACAGAAACTCTGCTTCCCAGCCTGAGCTGGTAACAAGGAAAGTTGATTGCAGATCTGGTCTTTAACAGATAGACAGTACTCACCTCTTCCTCCCAAATCAGAATTAATAAATGCCACAGAAAATTCCACGAGGCATTTCTGTAGTACAGCTACTAAACAAAAGTAGCTAACAGCCCTTCAAGGTATGTGCCCATTGCCCTACTTTAAATGTGACACAGAGGTGTAGAAACTATTATAGTATGGAACAGTTTGAAGTTCTTTTTAAGAAGACAGGAGACTGTCAGCAGACATAACTTCACAGAGTATTTTAATTCTAATGACAACTCCTAAGAAGCTCAGCTACCAATATGAACCACCAGTGTTTTTTCAGACGTGAATCTTAAATCAGACACCTCTAAAGTAAAGCACAATATACGCGCTACAGAAACAATGGCCTGGTTACTTGTCCAGCATCACGTGAGAATAAAGGCAGAAAAATAAACACCACATCCAATTCTTAGGAATTCTCACTTGATATAACCATGAAGACGTGCTTTTCTCTACTTGCAGCCATTTGTTCCATTGCCTAGAGAATTTTTTACTAATTTCTGCAGCACCTATAGCAACATCAGGCTTCTTGCTTGCACAGCCCACCAGCGTCCTCCCCAGCCCAGCACCACAGGCTGACCCTATCAATAGACTAAACACTCTGTGATCACAAAGATTGCTTATAGCATACTGACACAAGGGGGCAAATGAAGATTGCAGAATCTTAAAGCAGGAGTTATCTAACTTCTTAATGTTTCATTTTGTGATCTTCTTGTTCTTTTTACAGTTATTATCTTGTGCTTTGTTTTTCCCCCCTCAAAAAACATTTCCTCCTTTGAATTCTAATTCCCCTTATTAGATGAAGCATTTTATTTACTTCCACAAAGACGATGAGAGAACTGAAGAATCTTTCACATGAAGAAAGGCTGAGTGAGCTGAGACTCCAGCCTGGAGAAGAAAGGGCCTGTGTTTGTGTGATCTCAGCAATTTCTAAATGACTGCTGGTGGGGGTACAGCAGAGTAAAGAAGACATAGCCAGGCTCTTCTCTGTCCAGAAACAGGACAAGAGGCCGCAGGTAAGAAATGAAGTGTGTGAAAGTCTAGCTGAACAGAACAGGCTGCAGAGTCTCCATCCTTGAATATATTCAAAATGGACTGGACATAGCCTTAAAGAAATGACCCTGTTTGAACTAGAGATCTCCCTTACAACCTCAACTACTCTTACTTTGAGAGTTCTTTTCAGGACCAAAATCCATGAAGTAGCTGAGGGTACTAATAGGCTTACTCTCTTCTCTGTGGAATACAATGAGGGGGGTGAAACATGGGTGATTTCCCATATGAGAGCAAAAGCTGCTACTTAGCAGTCTGTATTCCCTTCTGGATGTGAAGTGCAGAGCATGCCAGTGAATGTCAGGAATCATCTGAGGAGTACAAGCCTCTTTCCCTAAGCCTGACTCGTTCTCTTTGTCTCAAGCCAGATCCCCTCTGTCAGGCTGCTGCTTCTACCAATTTCAATAAACAAACAAGCCCCCAAATCTTTGCCCGATGTATTTCAATCCTTCTGATTTTCCAGTTCATCAGATCTGTCCTTCCTGTATCTGTTCTCAGCCAACCTTTTAACATTGCACTTTCAGACATGTTCCTAAAACTAGCTGTCTTCACTCATATACAGCCATTAGCTCAGTTTATTTTCAAGCAACCCTATCATTTCTTGCCTTTTTATGTGAATTAAGCATCTTTTTCCCATACAGTTCCTAAGCCTAGCAAAAAATAAGTGCCTGAACTGAAAAGAGTGAGCCTTTCTTTCTTACATCAGGCACAGTCCTTAGGACCCCAGAGCTGCAACATGAAGTGAGTTTAATCCAGCCACAGTCTCTGGCACCACCCATACAGGCAAACCTCGGGAAAATATAACTAATATTAAGCCACCTGTGAACCATGTGAGAAATGTAACATCCTTTTCAAAGGTTTAGGAACTGAATCATTTGAGTAGGCCTTCATATGCACTTGAAGCAGTTTTCTTATCCAGACAGGAACTTTGGTTCCTCAGTTGAACTCTGGTTCTGCAAATGCTCAAACTGTGTTTTCACCATGTCACTGAACTATTCTATGCTGCTAGGGCCACCGAACAAGGCGCTCCAACCTTTGCCCTTCTGCTTCTTCCTGCTCCCTGCTATTTCCTGCCCTTGTGCCAGTGATAGGAGTTTGCATGATGAACCAGAAGGAAGCACAGTCTGTTTCACTCTTTGCACAAAGACCAACATGAGCACAATGAAGTACTCAGGAACAGTTTGGCCACTGGACTTAGACAAAGCCATGCAAATAGACTTATTTGTTGCATGCTCTCAAGTGTCTGATCAGCTCTTTAGACTCACATCTACTCATGGAAGTCTCTGGGAAAAATCCTGGGTACATTAAAACACCAGATCTACAAGAGCAACTGGATGGATGGGCCTCCTTGAAGCAACAGTGAAAAAAAGCAAAGACCTATAAGGTCTTTCCAAGCATTTCTAAGTCTTCAAATGGCTGAAGTGTATGTGCAGATCTTCAATATTTAGCAGTTACATAGTGCTACCTAAAGAAAGTCAATGAGAAAGCTATCCAACTTTGAGCCAGATAATATTTTTTTTTAAGTAGCCAGCCTCATTTTGGTCATGTATCTTAAGAGAAATGTAGTAGGTAAATGTGCACACAATGTAAATGTGCTTTTCTTTATGAAAAGCTGTAGACTATCTAATGCTGCATAGCTGTGCTATTGAGAACTGCTGAGGTCTGAACTAAATTGGAAATTTTACCTATTAGTAATTTTGCCTGTTCAAATTCATAGCAGTAGTAGAAAATGAGAGTGTGATTTTTACCAGTCTGAAATTCTGAAATATGGTCAAATAATGCCAAATAATGAATTATAACAACTTGGATTCATATTAATCTACATCGTGTTTGTACCTGTGCAACTGCACCAGTAGTTCTATGAAGGCTAAAATCAAAACAAATCTGGAGTGCAGATAAGCTTTTTTCCTGCTTTTAAAATATCTATATGATATATTAACTTGACTCTGTGAACACCTATTTGAAAAAAGTATGTGTATTTTAAATGGTAAAATACAACAGGGCTAATAAAATTAGATTAGCAAGTGATACTGAGTCATGATAGTGAAGAAAATAAAATCTTAAAAGGAAACACACTTTCAGAGCTGTATCTAAAATTAGTGACATTTACATAACCATTAGTCTACATTTGACTCACCACACAGTTCTCGCATACAGCTTTTAAAAGGAAAGGAGCCTAAGTAATTTCCATTCTCATTGCAGCAATTTCAATCATCTCAATGAAAGATTCTCCTGTAAGAGAAAAATCTTAGTGGAAGAGGAGAAAAAAAATTAGTTAATTCACAGTCAGATATGCAGTTTAAACTTCTAACCATAAAACTGTCTATAGCCCAGTGGTTAAAGAAATGAAGTGGTTAATAAGTTTTGTTAAAAAAACTGGAAGGCACTTTTTATATATGAGCTCTCTTTGTTAAAAGAATGACCAAATACTTCCCAGCTCCACTAATTTAGAAAAGATTGGAAAAATGAACACAGTTTTAAGCATTTTAATAAAGAAATGTGTTGACAATTAAAGTAACATAATTTTTATAGTTTTTAAATATATAAACACACTTACCAAAGCATTGTTAAACAGGTGCAGCTTGAGACGGCTCCTTTAGAAAGTTCAGTTTTCATATAAACCAAAGCAAAATTATATATATATATATATATATATATATATATGTCTATACTATTTACCATCAGATACTATGAAGCTCTAAATATAGTTTCTGAATAAATGAAAATACAAAAAAAAGCTAAGAAAGTGTTCATAAACAAACAATATATAAATTCATAGCAACAAAAAGGCATAGGGAATACATGCAATGTCCTGTTCCACGACTCGCGTGCAGAAGTGGCTAGCCTTACTTCAGCAGCACAGTTAATACTGGAGATATTTACAGTCTTAACACCAATATTTACGTGCTGCTAAAGTATGACAGACATCAGCATCACAAGAATGACTAATACATAAGTGGTATGTCTCTTCAGGGTGATGAAATCCTTGTATTTTTGAGGCAGCACAATATGGCCTGCACCTTTTCAAAACCCACAAACCATTATGTGCTGCTACGTTATGCCAAGGTGTCTACCACACTTCAAGGAAACAGAAACATACTCTGAGCTGAATGCAGAATTTTCTTATTGAACTTCAGCTTTCATGTAGTAACATCAGTTGTATTAATGAGCCACAAAATGTTTAGAAAACATCTGTCCATTGCCAGGCTGACTATTTATGGTGAAGCTCTAGACTTTATTATCACCTGTGCATAATATCTTAATGAGACATGAACCACAAACTGGACAACTGTGTGTCTAGTTAGAGGAACTAAAGATTATGCAGACGTTTATTTCAAAGGAAAGCAAAAAAATCTGGGTTATTTTCTAATCTGACTATTTGTCATCTGGAAACTCAGATGTGAAAAGAAAACCCCAACAACTTTCATATGTAAGAGAATAAGAGCTAATTTCAAAATAAGCTTTTGTGAACCATTCTATCAGTCCTCAAGCCATCTGTTAGCTCTGCAGCTTACCCTTGTTAGCTCTGCAGCTTACCCTTCCTGTAACTTTTGGGCAGACAGACTCAAAAGAGCCTTACTTAATTTCAGAGGCAAAAAACAAACAAACAAAAAAAACCCCCAAAAACCCACCCCAAAACAATTGCTAGCAAGAATAGTAACTTAACTGTTATTATGGGCAGGAATTCCTCTGCCCCCAGCCTAGAACTGACCATGCTGCTTTACTTGATGTAGGCAAGAGATGTAGAATTCACGGCCCTGTTAGGCATCGTTTTCTTAGACGAAAGAATGCCAGAGATTTCAGTGTGTACAGTCCTTTTACTGCTTCCCTAGATAACATGAATTATGCTTTCTTTTATGTTTTTATACTAAACTATTAAGACAAAAGCTACTTACACAGCACGGACCCAATATGCCACTCCATTGCAATAAGCCTTCTAGACATGACAAACAGCTTCTAGAAATTAACAGGGCTATCTGGAAGCACAAAAAGATTTGGCAGGCCATGTGGGGGAAAGATTTGGGAATTTTCTTTTCTCCCTTCCTACAGTAATACAGCAGGGCAATATCTCTAGAAGAGTCCTTTACCACAAATGTGCCAATTAAAGTGAGATTGCCAATGTAAATTTACAGGTAACAGCAGCAACACTTTTTATACAGTTTATCCAGGTAAGAATGCTAACTTCATGAACTACATCAAAGAGCCATTTCCAGTATATTTTATACATGCACAGGTCTATTTACACTTATTCCCATCCCACCTATTACTACCTATGTTTGTTTTTTTTTAAATCAGACAGCTAAAATAGGCAAACTAAATTAAATAGGCACAACTTACCCAACTTACCATGGTGAATTAAAGCAGGAGTGCTAAGTCAAAATAAACCTATATTGTAAACGTGTGCTCTGACAGTTGGTCTCCCCCCTGAAGAAACTGTGCTAGGCATAAACCAAGAGAAGAAAAAGTAAAGACAAAATCTGCACCATATACATATGTGTATATATATACACACACATATATATATATATATGTGTAATGTAGAAACTGTATATATAAAGATAGATGTGAGCAAAAATGCTAGTCAGCAGTAAAAGATTTACTTCAACTTTTCTGGAAAAAGAATATGAAAAATATTCTCTAGCAAGAAAAAAAATTGTTTTGTAGTTGTAGATTCACCTTAAAAGAGTACAAGAAAACTACTTAAATTAAGACAGCTGCAACATTTAATACCTTTGGAAGTGCATTTCTCATTTTTACATTCAGGCCAAATTCTTCGTTTGAAACTCCATGTGTTTAACAGACACTATTCTTTCAATTGTCTGGTTGATTTCAGGTTCTAGCTTAAGTATGGAGTGGTTTTTTCCTGTTCTATAACTAAATCCCTTTAAAATCAAACTATACACACCATGAAATGAAGACTTGGCAGAACTATTATGTTATTTTCTACAGAAAGTACATTAGTAAGAAAAATTGCAGGTAATTCCACCCACTCATACAAAACATGAACACAAAACCTTGCATGAATTACAGGATTCCAGACTGTTTGAGTTTTTATTTTTTTATTTTTTTTAAATGATTTTGGAAGGTGTTTTGTAGTTGGGGTTTTTTTTTTAACTTTACTACAAAATGTCCCAAAAGAAACCAACCAACCCAAAACTCAACACAATGAGACTGTATGTTTTCTACACTATTAAAATATATATAATCTACACAGAGAATAAGCAAATTATCACTTAAAATTGAAGGCAGTCTATGTGACAGAAGGGGCTGGGGAACGGGAAAAGAATGAAAGGAGGAAATCTAAGATAAGAAGTGTAGCTGAGCTAGGAATCTACTGAAATCCAGGAATGTCTGCACAAAGCTGTGTACCATTATGTTTTGGTCATAAAGTCAATATAGTTGTTACCATGAGTGCTTCTCCTACCTCCATCCTTGTGTCTTAAATCTGTGGATGAGAGACAGATAGACAAAGAAGACCTCAATAAAAGCTGGGAATCATGTATGCAAGAAGCTCCATTACATTTCCTAAGTCCCTAAAAGCAAGAGCTCTGCTGAGGAAGAAGGATTCTGAAGATGCAAAACTGAAATTCCACAGAAGCAGCTCACATATACAAGTCAGGAATGCTCTTTGAAAAAAAAATGTACTGGAACTGTTAAAAAAAAGAAAGGAAAAAAGAGAGAAGCATATGTGTATATGTATTTGCCCTTGTTTTAGCAATTAAGAGTGCTCCCAAGCAATGAAGGAGCCTTTCCTTGATTTCAGTATTTCTTAGTTGATTTATCAAAGACCAAGCCCAATATAAAATATCATTTTCGGTTTTTATTGTTTATAGTTCAGAGTTTATGACAACACCAAGCCAAACTCAATGTTTTCTGATCCTATGAAAACCAGCTACAAGTCAATTCTGGCTACTATACATACTAATAAGCTCCTTAAATGCTACTATAACTACTAATAAGTTCCTTAAACCTCAATGTAACATATTACATGCAGAAGGTACCACTAGGCCTGCAATCTGACAGACAGGCCAGTGACTCAGAGACACCAAGGACTTGGTATTAAACACTGTATGTTGTCTCTAATACCAAAGAACGTGATATAAAATTAAATATTTACCTCATGCCTTTTGGTCATACAAAAAAAGCACTCCCTTGACGCTTCTTGGGCAGAAGCTCTTCCTCATCAATAGTGTTATACACCATTGCTCACAACCATATTCCATTGTTTTAGTTCCTTACTCATATATTATAAAACACAGATCCAATATGAAAGCAAGGCTATTGTTTCACTGTTCATTGTGACCCTTTCCCAAACTTATTTCAGATTAAAATTAGAAGACTGAACATGAACCTGAACGACTTAAGTGTTCCACAGTGTAAAAGCATTACATCTGTCCACCAGTGCTACTCTCCTGCACAGCCCTGACACCAGCAGTTACACATGTCCATATCTCAGTTTTCCCAGGTTAGCTTAGTTTAACCAGAAATGAGACAGGGTTTGCACTGAGATGGCACAGCGTGAAGTGGAGCACCTTTGACAAGTGTGTCCTGCTCTGTGCATTCCATTAATGGAGTAACTTATTTCTATGTTAGACAGGACATTTTGCAGTGTAGCTTTTTGGACAACTGCTGGTAAATTTGCCAAGATCTCCTCTCACAGTTCAGTGCCACTAACACACCACTAACTATGAATACACATAATGGCAGTTCAACACTGGAAAATACTTTTAGAGTTTTATTGAATTAATCTGGGAAAAAGACAGAGATAATCTCACTGTTCACTACCAAGAAATCGGAACACTTCCATTCTCTAAGATTCTCAGATGTAAAAGTGTATGTAGCTGTATCTTTCTTATACACTGTTTACACCCCTCTCTCCAAGTTAAAACAATAGTTTCATTTTATTTTTGTCATATGCTTACTCAACACAGCAGTATTTGTAGTGCAGACATACTAGAATTTATTACTCTTGTTCGTTCTCAAACCTAAGATTGAGAAGTATATTATTTTACTCCTACCTTTTTGCTTCTTTGTTAAGGAACTGTCTTTCCATCTAATTTGTGGTGTCAGCAGCTTTTAAAGTGATATGCATGTATTTTTTAAAAGAAGAAAAGATTCCACTGAAATATTTCAGAACATTAACTTTAAAGGTATCAGTGTACTTTTGCCTACTATTCCATTATTATTTGGTTCAGGCATAACCTACAATACTCAGTTAATTCACTCCACTTAATTGAGGTTACTGT